GCAATCGCTGCAATCATCGTCATTGTCATCGTCGTCGTATGAAACTGTCGCGAAGGGGACGAAAATGGCGGCACCTGCATTGATCCTTGTGCGAGCCGAGGTTTTCTTAGTTCGGCTTATGTGTGACGCCATCGAATTGGCTTTGCGGTGATGTTGAGATCCGGTGAGACTTATTGCTGCAAAGATAATCAGAAGTACTTCTGTCAGCCCGTACTATCCGTACTGTCGGAGTAGACGTAACCCGGCCAGCAATGCAAAAAGCAACAGGATCACCCCCTTTATGCAGGCCAAGATGGCGAAGTCGTGTCCTTGCGGCCTTCGGGCGAGCGTTGCCTGAGCCTGGGCTGCACAAAGGGCACGTCGAAACCAAAAACTGAAGCTTTGAGGTCGAGGAGTCGAGGAGTTGGAAAGTTGTTCTCTGCTGGGTCACATTTGTTGACTCGGGCATTTTCGGGCATCGGCCCCTGGTAGTCTCGCATGCGTGTTCCATCTTGAAGTCATCGTCGAATGGGAACGTGCGTCGTTGCATCCCTCGAATGCTTTCAAAGCAGCTTTTGGCGAAGGAAATTGAAACTCAGACCCAGCAAGCTCGAGATACAGTACTAAGATGCATCAGCGTAGTCGCAGAGCGCAGTAGTACGTCATTCTTTATCGTCTGGGTCAGGTCTGGGTTGTCCTGTGGGATCTTGTTTAATTTCCCCTACTATTTTGTAGAGAACCATAATAGTAAATAATTTTCAAGGGGCTTAAAGGACAACTCAGTCGTCTTAGTGCGGTGGTCAATGAGACAATGACGAGTGTGCTTCCACTTCCGACGCCAGGAAGCGAGTGGACACCGCGCGGATGGCTATGCCCTCCCTTGAGGCCAAGCTTGTATTTGCAGGGCTTTTCCGCTGTTCACACGAAAGACATGGATAAGTAGGCAGGCGTGAATGCGTGCACAGATGGACCAGCAGACGGCCAGGTGCATGCATGTGCCAGGAAGTAGAAGTCTACCTACAGCCATGCCTAATTACCTTTTTTTGTCTCTGATACTGCGAGGAAGCGCTGGTGCACGCGGATGTGAACGTTCCGACGCTCCGAGCGTCCTTGGACGATGCCACTGCACCGTCAATCCCGTCACCGGTGAAGATGCAGTTTAGTCCACCGAAGCAGAGGCCGCCCGACATGCAGCAGGCACGAGCAGCGCTTCCGATGCTGGGTGCTTGCTGGGTATCGTTTTTACTTGCGTGCTTAGTGCCGAATGGCATAAACAAATGCCCTCCATCCCATAAGATCATGATTGTCGCCAAAGTGGCCATAGTCGGTTTGACCTCGGTATTGGTGGTGCTCAGGCTGGTAGTTGCCATGTTGGTTGTCTGTGGTGAACGAACCTGCCGTACGGTCGTGTGTGCGCCAGCAGGCCACTCTCCGTCTCGCTGTGCTTAAGCAACAGCAGGGCAAACCTTCAAATTCTTCGGAGTGACTCGAAATCGAGGTTCCCTTGCCGCCATTGTCTCACGAGTTTCATGATTGACATCTCCGTTGCTCGATCCCTCGATACCATGGTCGGCCATGGGACTAACCATGACTAACCCCCCCCTCACACAGGTCAATGCAAGTTTCGGATCAGCTGCAACATGGCCCCAGCAACAACGCGCAGTAGTGTGATATCTGATGTCACATCAGCCAACGTCGGTTGAATCAGTATCGGGTGATATCGGGTGATCGCTGAGTTGAATTTGGAAAACATCGCTGCATCGAACCCAGGATGTCTGGCCCCAGCTCAACAAGAGCAGCGGAGCCAAGCCAGGAGAAGGCAATTTCAGGTGCCCTGCGGCGTGGCACGCCCGAAAAGCGAACCAATATGCCTTGCCCAGCCACCCCTGTGGTGTCTACGCCGAGCCCAAAACGGGCGCAGCAGACGCCACCAACTCCGGCAAAAGTTACCCAGCCCCGCCCAGCGTCTCCATGTGTGCCTGTTGCATCTGCGCCCTCAGCTTCGGCAGAGGCGCCTGCAGGGCCGGGCGTCGGCCCGGATCCCAAACCCAAGAAGCCACCGGTGGAAGCGCGGCTGGGTCGTGCCCCGCTGGCTCGGGCGCCGCGTGGCCCCGAGCCGGCTGCAAATCACTCCGCGGAGCCATGCAGCTTGGCATCTACGACATACTCGTGGGCATGGAGAGTTATCAAGCTTGTTTTGTGTGCTCGTGTTCGTACTCGAGAATCGAGCCTCTACATAGGGGCCGAAGGCTATTTTGAGGGCTCCCTCCTTGAACGTAACCCTCTGCACCGAGGCAGCGAGCTACAAGTCGCTGCCAAAAGCCCAGGCCAGGCCGCGAGCGCCAAGGCTCCGAGCCAAGCTGCGCCAAACCAGGCGGGGGAAGTCGCAAAAAACTGACAAAAACTGCTTTTGAAAAGGCCCCGGCCGAAGGCACCAGCTCCCTTGAGGACGAAAATCCCCGTCTATACGTTATACTGGTTGTACTGTATATAGTGCACGTAAGACCCTAATTTTTAATCAGCATCATCATCGTATGTATATACATATATACACTATATACATGTACGCAAGAACACTTACATGAAGTCCATTGTATGTTATCACCTACTTGTCCGACCGTCGTAACACTCGTTGCCTGGCTTGTGTTGGCGCTTACAGTAGCAGCAATCTATTCCTTTTGAGGGCTGGGAGATTTACTTACCTGCCTATCTAGCTACCTAGCTGCAACCGCACGAATGTACGTCCAGAGCACTGCTAAAGTCATTTGCTTTTCCACTCTTTCTCGTGCACACTTGCACACTTTTCTTGTACGGTTCTTAGCATGTTCTCAGCCCTGGCGGTTGCACTGGCAATGCAGCACGATGGGTTGCAGCTGTGTCGTCGTACAGTGTACACTGCCACGGCACCCCACAAAACCAGCAGTACATTGAGGCACGTCTGCCTCCCCTTCAAACCCATGTGTTCGCGTCGCGGAGTAGGGTGCACACTGCCAGGCTCCAGATTTCGCTGCGGCTTTGGCCCGGCTCGTGGATGCAGCTCAGGCCGTTTGTCGGACGGCATGTGGCTCGATAAAACCGTGTTGCAGGTTCTTGCTACTATAGTAGACTAGCAGGCTCCCGCCGAGAACCCAAGATCTCTCTGTTGCCGTGATAATCCGTGATACCTCATGACTATCAGGAGATGGACTACCAGCCCAGGATGCAAGAACACTGGTTGGATAGATGGAGTAGCTCGAACATCGAACTCATCGAACCCAAGGACAGTTGAACCGAACCTCTCTGCAGGTCGTTGCTGTTGCTGCTGCCGCATCGCAGCCGGCCCAGTGCTGGCCCCGACATTTCCTTCATTGCAGAATTTTCTGTGGTTCAGGGCTGGATGTGTTATTTACGATGTTTATCAGACCTAATGAGCCCTTTCTTGAAAAGGTAACCTTTCCAGAAGGGATGGGATAGGTAGCATGTTGTTTTTCTTGGTGGCTTCTATCGGGTTCAGGTTGCATGATCATGGAAACATATGCCCCAGTTCTTGGGAGGGCATACGATCACTGCTTCGGGTGTTAGGATGTTTCCGGGCTCGAGACTGTTCAAGCACACGTGCGCTGCGGCTGCTGCGGCTGCTGCTGCTGCTGCTGCTGCAGAAGACGCCACTGAATCCACAGCGAAGCTGCCACTAGCACGTCCACAACAACGCCAAACTACCTCTTTTGCTGATCTCCTCCACCTTTTCCTCCTTCTCCTCGTGCTCGTTTTCGTACTCGTACTCGTACTACAACTCCTATCCCTACTCCTACTCCTACCCCTTCTCGTACTCCTACTACTCCTGCTACTCCTACTCCTACTAACTACTACTGCCACTGCTACATCTGCTGCTACTGCTTCTTCTTCTTCCGATGTCGTGATGTCATGCCGGCATTCAGAAGTCAGCGAGCAATGGCGGATTGGATTCTTCTACCCCAAGTAGAAGGACAGTTGCCGTCACCGATACAAGGAAAACGTATGGCAACCAAACGAGCTATCTGCTGCATGCTCGATGTAAGCATGCATGACAGAAGAAATCAGGACGCAGTTGCCGTGGCCCACAGTTGTGAGTGCCAACAGACAATGCCTACCACTGCCGCTGCACGACCGTTTTGCTCCCTGCCATGAGGGTGCAGGGTGAGTTGGTTGTCTCTGCCCCTACGACGACGACGCCGACTACTACTACTACTACTACTACTACTACTACTACTACTACTACTACTACTACTACTACTACTACTACTACTACTACTACTACTACTACTACTACTACTGCTACTGCTACTGCTACTACTACTACTACCACTACTACTACTACTACTACTACTACTACTACTACTCCTTCTGCTACTACTACTACTACTACTACTACTACCACTACTACTACTACTACTACTACTACTACTACTACTACTACTACTACTACTACTACTACTACTACTACTGCTACTACTACTACTACTACTACTCCTGCTACTACTGCTACTACTACTACTACTACTACTACTACTACTACTACTACTACTACTACTACTACTACTACCACTACTACTACTACTACTACTACTACTACTACTGCTGCGCTGTAGTACGACCACGGCATCGGACGCCTACTGCTCCTCAAGTCCGGAAGTTAGTTCTCGGAAGTATTATGCTACGCCGGACGACATACGCACGCCGAGGCCCCCTGAGACTCCGACTTCCCGGCGGAGTCGCAGCGCCGCAGGGCCGAGGCCGTCAGCGGATGCCACGCGCCGCTCGGCCGACCTCCGAGGCTCAGGAAGAAGGCTTGAGAGGCCCTTCAGGCACTACACAAGTCAGGTGCTTGTCCAACGAGAAGAGGAGACTCATGGCTTTTGGTGGAGTCTGATTTCTTGCTTCTGTAGCAGACTGATGAATGCTCGAATGTGATGGTGACGGCTCAAGCGACCCCGCCCAGCAGGAGCCCAACTCGCCGCCATCAGTCTCCTCCTCCGAGCAATCCGACTGAGGTTTCCGGCAGCATGTCTGTTGCACAAGTTGAGGACCGGATGCAGGAGGTCAAAGACAGCTCGGAGATCGAGAGCGATATCTCGACGTGCGTCGTAAGCGACGACTTCTCTACGGACTCGGAGAAGCAGTCCGCTGGCCGACGCCTTTCCATGTTCAGCCATGGAGCCGTCCTGCCCACAGCCGTTTGCCTGAGCAAGGCTGCTATTGGCGCAGGAGTTTTGACCATGCCAGGCCACGCGGCGGAAGTGGGTGTCGTTTTCCAAACTTTCGCGCTGATTGGAGGAGCCGTTCTTACACTGTCCAGCATCCGCTTTATCGCCACGGCCTGCATCGCCACAGGCTGCTACAGCTACGAGGACTTGTGTGATGAATTGCTCCACCCTGTGATCGCCCTCTTCACTGGGTTCATGAACACTCTGAACTGCATTGGTTCTGCAGTGGGCTACCTCATCATTTGCGGCCAACTCTTCGGCGTGGTCACTGGTGCATCAGAGCCTCACTGCAAGCTGTTTATTGTGCTCACGGGTGTCTTCGTTTGTGCTCCACTGGCCATTGCCAGGCATGTCAGCTGCATGCGGCATCTGGCTGCAGGGAGCATCGCCGCGCTTCTCATCTTGGTCGCTTGCGTCATGTGGTATTATGCCGAGCACGGAGCAGATGAGACCATTGTCACCCCGGACGATGTGTTTTTCTCTTCCACGGCCACGGCCTTCACCTACATGTCAAGCATTAACAATGTCGTTTTTGCCTATAACAACCAGTTCAATGTGCCCCAACTTACCGGAGAGCTGAAGCCGGAGCCAACGACGATGCGCATGCACACAGCGGCTGTCATCTGCCTGGTCATGTGCTTTGTGGTCTACATCTTCACGTCTGTGTTCGGGGTGCTGGCCTTCGGCATTGGAGATCACCAGAAAGAGTCCCTGGTGAACTCCTTGAAGCCCGTTGGACACAACCCGTTTGTGGTGCTGACCATGCTGGGCCTAATGCTCAGCGTGCTTACATGTTTCCAGTTCCATGTCTACCCGGTGCGTCAGTTCGCTGCTTATTTGGTGCGACGCATCCGCAAGCGTGATGCCAATACCGAGAAGGAGGACAAAGTCATTTGGGGCAAAACGGTGACTAGGTGGTTCGACATCTTCTGCGCCCTCTCCAGCGTGGCTGTGATAATCTTCATTGCGGTGGTCGTCAAAGACCTGAGGACGGTGCTGCAGTTTGTGGGGTCCTTTGCATCGGCCTACATTGCGTTCATCGTGCCACCCATTTGGCTCCTCCAGGTTCGACGCCGCTCTCCGAGCTTCCGCTGGTGCAAGGCCGAGACCCAGCTCTGTTTGCTGGTGCTCTCCTTGGGCAGCTTCTTCTTTGCATTCGGCACCTATACAGCGGTGTCGTCCGCGTAAGGTCGGACGGCGCCAACCATGCCTCTTTTGTGGGAGCCGATGCCGTCCGGGCTGCTGGGGCTTTGTGGCACTCTTCCCACATTGCATCTGGGCGTGCGGTGGCCCCGAAAGATAAAGGCGCTGCTGTACAGAGCATGCTGCCTGGGCTGGATGGAGTTCAACTCTTGGTATCTCCAGGCGCGAAGCCAACCGTGCTTCTAGCAGTCGCCTGGACTTTTGCTGAGGGGCTCAGGTGCATTGTCTAGCTGCCGTTTAAATGGCAGGAATTCGGACGTCTCATTGAGCAGGGAAGCAGCGCACTTGCCGCGAATGTGAGGCGTGGCCAACGGCACGTCCAGTCTCGACCTCCTGTCTAAAGATGCTTGTTTGATTTGTCACGTTTCGCCTGGCATCGAGACTGCTTTGTGCTACACATCGTCAGTGCACATTCATTTGCATGGGGCAGATGTTGCACTGATGTCGAGAGCTTGGCCGCTCTAACTTTGCCCGCATTTCCATCGCGGCATTAGCATATCGCCGGGAAGAGCCTGCATGTCAGACACGCAGGAACAGAATGGAGCATCAGAACAAACGGATTCCGCTTGTGTGTTCAGTAGGTGACATTTTTGTTGGAGTGCAGACTGCGTACTGCTTTCTGACCTTGGTTGGTCTCGTTGATCTACAGTATCGCCCTATCTTGGTAACCAACCGTTGGCCTGTGCCGACCGACAGATGAAGCAGAGTTGTCCGAAGTTGAGCGATTCTGAAAAGTGAAAAGTCCGGGGGAGTCTTGTCTCGGGGCACGTCCATGCGTTGCACGTGAACTCCGAGGCCTTCCCCCGGGGCGCGCTGGAGGTGCCGGAGCCCTGCTTTCAGCCTTTTCTTGAGATGGCCTTGGAGTCTTGTAAGTTACAGACGTTCCTGGTTGTAGGCATCAGTCTCAAGAGTATGAAGGTGGTTTGAGAGCTGCACCCTGACGGTGCAATTGCCAGCTAGTATCAGCAGGCAGGCCGTGTGAGTCTGGGTTCAAGTGCTAGACTGCTAGACCCCACCGCGGCTGACAGATCTCTGAGTCCGCGAAAGAGAGATGGGGAGAGAGCGAGAGAGAGAGAGAGAGAGAGAGAGAGAGAGAGAGAGAGAGAGAGAGAGAGAAAGAAATCCACCGTACCACTTAGAGGGGGAACCCACCGGTACTCGTGAACGGCATGTGTCTTTCGTTAAAGTGTTGCTTCAACAGACGATGGGGGAACCCGGCAGCCCCCAACACTGAACACTCGCATGAACTGTTGACCCAATCAGTCCTGCAAGTTGGCCTAGTACTCAGTTTGTTGCTTGTGTGGATATTGAAAATGGGGGAAGATGGCAACCATAGGACTGAGTTTGGGGCAATACGTCTGATGAGGGACTTAGGCGCGGCGATGAGGCCAGGAAGCGCGATTCGTCCAGGGTTGGTTTGGATCCCCGACAGACGCACACTCCTCTCGCACTAACCGCCGGGGGTGAAAATCACCCCAAGGAACCCCAAGGCTGAACGTGTGATGGGAGGGGGCGCCTCGGTGCGGGTCCGTCTTCGCGCGGACCTGACCCCTTTGGAAGGAAAGAATGAAGAGAGAGAGGGAGAGAGAGCGAGACACAGAGGGGCCGTGAATACGCGGTAGCTTGAAGTGCGAACCATGAAGGGTTTTTTACTGGTCACTGGTCCATGCGCTGCACTTCTTCGGTTTGAAAATCCTTCCCGGACCTTGTGCTTTGGACTAGCCCCCGCATCGCGATGTTGCTGCAGGAGCAACAGAAGCGGAACCGCCGAAGCGGCATGCCAGCGCGCACTTGGGTTCGATCATGTTCTGTTGTCAGCCTCTGCCATGCTTAATTGCCACTCTTGTGAAGCAGCGAGACGGCGTGGCCGAAACCTGCAACTCTTAACCCCAGTTATACTCTAGATTCTAGATCTGCGCAGCACCTACAGAGTCAGAGAAACACAACCGAGACAACTCCGGGGGGCTGGAAACAGAGATAGACTTTTATCAAAAAAACATTTGCACATGCAGAGACCCATCTTTTACCCTGCATCCGACGTGCCGGTCGTGCCACAGGGACAGTTCGATGCACATGTAAATACGTAAGTAATGGAGGGACGTTTTACTTCTTAGCTGAACATTGATCCTCTGCTCTGTTGCCGGTGTGCTCCTTGATCCTCAAATGCGGGGTCCGGGCGCACTACAGAAACCCACACCATGTATAGTCTTCCGGGTCAAGCACGTGCATGCGACGCTAGACTGAACGGTTGTTGTAGCACAGAGCTGCTTACCGTACGCGACCGTCAGCCCAGTAGAGCTTCATTGACCCTCTCTCGGTCTCTCGGTCTTTGGCTATACAGTTCCGCAGCTCAGATATAGGTTTAAAGGATGACCAAATCGCAGCGTTCACACACCGCGTTCCAAGGTCACCAGGCATGGCTGCCCGGGCACAGCGTGCGCAGGTGCCGCCTTCTCCGAAGGCGCCAGCGGTCCTTGGCACCTTGGCTTTAAAGTATAAACTAGGTCACTAGGCATTGTTTCTCTTGATGAGGGTGATGCTGCTGCTGGCGATGATGGTGACGACTGCAATGATAATCCTACTTGCTACTGCTGCTGCTGATGATGATGATGATAAAGGCGATGCGGTAATCACCCGATTGTGATGCGGATCGGGATTAGTGTCAGGGCGAGGAAAGGCCTGAGGGCTTGGGGCAGCTAGTGACCGTTTGCGAGTTTGTAGTTGCATCGACAGCTTATTATTCGGCTTCCGGACACTTTGGGGATTATGTCCAATCATCTTTCTCTAACCTGGACCTACACTGCCAAGGCCAAGAGCTAAACACGAGTATTCAAAACCACATTTAATGGAGTTGCAGGCAAATTTGCGGACTTTGAGCGCGTGGTCTTGCTGCCGCCTTGTGCGACACACTGGTCACAGCAGCCCTCACCTCCTCCCGAGGAGAAGGACCTTTTCCAGACCCAACCTGCTGCTGCTGCAATTGCAGTCACGAGAGGGGATGGCTCGGAATGTCTCCAGGGATAAAGCAGGCAACCCGAGGCTTCCAGGCAGGGGTGGAGGTGGGAGGGATAGAACTACAGGATGAAACGGGTGCTGATGACGCAGTTGAGTTCCAAGGACACCTTTCAGTGGTCATTGTTCCGGCAAGGGATTCTTGGAGTTTCTTCCGTTGGTGTGCTGTGCAGGGAGACAGGTCTCCGGGATCCTTCTGCTCGTCTTACGGAGGCTTCTGGCTGTCAGCTTTGGGACAGATTTGACAGCAGACTAAGCCATGCTCCTCATGGCTCCCGTGGCTCAGCTGCTGCATGTTCTGGCCATGATCGCGGTGGCAGGGCCTCCAATAATATGCAAGGGCTTAGATTGCCTTACAGTCGCTGCGCCAAACCTAAGCAGCTGGACGCAATTTTACTTCTTGGTACTGGTTCGAGAAACTTGAAACTGCCACGAAGCTGGGTGAAGATCCTGAATTCGGTATCCGGGAGCATCCTACGAGCCATGGCCGCTGTTTTGCGCCACTCACCGGGTGCACGGGAGCCCGAGCTGCAGCTGCTGCAGCGTGTTCCCAGCCAGACTACAGCCTTACCGCAGGGTCGTCGCATATGCCTGCAGTCCACAGAGCAATCAGAAGGGATGCTGGGAGTGATTGCTGAAGCTGCAATGGCGAAAGCCCGTAATCAAGGCGGATCCGCATCCTGTGGAGTCCCCGCTACTGCAACTCAGGCTTTAAGTCTTGTGCCCCCCTTACACCGGACTTGCGACAGCCGACAGCCTTATCTGCAAGGTTGTGAGCGATGCCTGCCGAGGGTGTCTCGCTTGGCCAAAGGAGCCGGCAGACCTAGCATCGCGCATCGGCGAGATGATCGGCAAGGACCGAACCTGTTCTTTTTTCCAAGCACGCCTACAAGCACCCGAAACCCAGGGCTCCGATCCGACCGAATGACACAACCTGCATAGGAGCGGCCGGAGCTTTTTGTCCTGGTAGTCCCGGGGCCTTGCACGACGGATGCCCAGGACTGCCTCGTCGTCTCAAGCACTCAATTCGTTGAAGAAGGGGTTGTCGCGGTATTTCAGGGGCCCTTGTCTTGAGATTTGATAGATGTAGGCCGTGATTGACGATTTCGGGACCGGCGAGATCGAATAGAGATTCGCCGAGTCTGATTCTGAGCGTGTGCTTTGGATGTCAGTTTCCTCAATATCCTCCATCCCCATCAAAAGGCGACCAAGTCCGGCCACGCAAAGACTGGACACTAATTGGACACTAATAGTCTGGAGCTTAAGCGACAAAGCCTTCTCATCCTGTCTGGGGTGGTGCGCACAGAGACCAATCTAGGCCCTCCCAACCCGTTGCAGCCAACATCAACAACGAGCGAGGTCCTTCTTGTAGCATTCCTGTAGTCATCCTTCTCCTCGGTGCAGTAAGCATACGGTCAGACATGCGAGAGCATCTGTCATCCATTTCACGCACACCTACACACATGCACACACCCACACACATCGCAGTTGTGCTGCGAACTACGTAGTTCCAAGATGCGAGCAGGGAGCCGTGTCAACTTGCGTTTTGCACAAAAGGCTCTGGCTGGGAACAAGTTGCCCAGGACATGTTTGGAGAGGGGTTTGACATCTTCGCAGAGCTACAGGTGCCCTGCACTTTAAGGGGTTTCTCCGTCAGGAAGCTTGAAACCCGCGGACCACAACTTCATGAAGGGGTGATGCAGAAAATCACCAAGCTCCAGGGGTACTTGGGTGAGCGGGAGCCCATCCCAACATGACAATCGAAGGCACTGTGAGAGAGTCAAGCATCGGAATGTTTTCGTCAGTCTTGGGCCTAGCGTTGCCATCGCCGAGAGCGAAAGTCCAAGACTCTGTCTGTTGATAACCTTTCTGGCCCTAAAGTTCGCCTTCTTACCGGAGCTGGTGGTTTGTCTTCGGGATTTCGATATGGAGCAACACAGGGGCTAAGAATCGGGTTCCGTGGCGGGTGGTCTTTTTGATGCTGTGGAAGTCCCCGAATGGGGAGTCATCCAATTATTCTAATTCTGCCAAGCCCTCAGGTGCAGCCACAGCTTGTTGCGATCGTGTTGGCGAGGACTACATCAATAGGGTCTTGACATTGGCTGGACCAACAGGTTACAAAAGAGTGTCGGGAGTATTTGCACACCGCGTACGCCAGCATGTGTACATTCTCCAGCACATCTGGACCCAATTGCAACCAGCTGAAGCTTCTGGGACAAGATGCTGTTATGCCACAAAGGCCCAGGAAAGATGTTACGCATCATCATGGTCAGTCTTTGTGCGACTGTTAGTAGCTGTAGAGGGTGTGAGCAGATGTGTGAGGTATCGTCGGTCGTAAATTCGTTGTGATGATGGTGCTGGTGATGGCGACGGTGTTGGGAGATTGGTGGTCGTGGTGGCGCAGCGGCAGCAGAAGAAAACAAATTAACAAATAGTCACATGCTTCTACTGCAGTAACCTAGTTGCTAGCATACGAAGCGAAAGTCGCGATTGTGCCGATATTCGGGTGCACCGCAGTGCGACTCGTTAAAGTGATGTCAGCTTTTCCTCATCTTGTACCTGCCACAGGGTCTGCATCAGATCTAACGAGACATATTTGAGGCTGCGAGTGTCAACTGGTAAAGACAAGAACACTCGCCAGCACGGCAAGAACAAGCACACCGTGCCAATGCTGAAAGCATGGCGAATTAGTGCGGCAGGCGTTTTTTCTTCAACTTTGACCTGCCGCAAAGAGTGCTGCATCGGCCGGAAAGCTTCAGCCCCAGGCCTAAATCCTTACATGGAAGAGGTGTTCATACATTTTGCTTGGAAAGCACAGTTTTCACTTCTGCATGAAAAGTAAAGTTGCACCATTCGCCTTAAACCAAAGTGCTATGTACAATTGCAACTCAACGTGCACGCTCGGATCTGGCTTTCGAAGAGTGTGCCCTTCCAACCTCCGGCTTATTTTAAGGCCTCTTGAAAGGTCGCGACTAAAACGGCAGAAGTAGAAGGTGCTGCTACAACTGACGCAACTACCGTTCGGGTTATTATACAGTTCTTTTTTTCTTTCCCAAAAATTCCTCGTGGATTGATCTGCTTCCAACGCTGCTTTTCCGCAGAACAAACTTTCATATGAAATCATCATTCTTGCCCCATACAGCCCTTCCACCCTGAACTCCAGAAGAAATCGTCAACACTTGGCCAGGAGCTCAAAGGCTGGGCCATCTCTGGCACCGGCGCCGGTGGCGCCCCAGCAGGAGGGCGCTAGCAGTGGGACCGAGGCAAACACGACGAGCTTTCGGGGTGTTCAGGTCCAGACTGCTCAGGGGGTTTTGGGTTGAGGGGGTAGAGTCGCGGGTAGAGTTTATGAGTGAGTGACTGCTTCGCTTTGGTGCTGGAGATCGTAGAATCAGCGCTTATTCAGTTGGTTATGATGTGCGTTTGGATCTGGGGCCTGCTTTATGCATGCTTGGCTATCAAGACAAATGCTGTATTCGCAGACCTGTCTCAGTACACACATAACTGGTGAAGCAGAAACAGCTCCAATGAACGACTAAGACAAGACCTGTGACCCGGCGATCCACAGAGGCCCGGATGCATGTGTATACTTGTATGCTATACACGTGCACACGATAAATGATAAAAAAAATCGGGATGGACTTATGAACATTATGTTCATCCGGATTCTTGGTATCGCAGTCCTTGGCGGATGTGGCCTGGGTTCACTTTTCAGCGTGCTTTCGTTGGAGTTGTTCTTCGGTGATTGCTCTCGTCTTGTTGGACGCGAAGCTGTTGAGGGTTGGTCGCCCCAACTCCCAACTTCAGAGAAGCTCAGCCTGGTCTCATGCGCCACTTGTGCATGGTGGGACGTTTCGTCACTGAATGTCGCTGAATGCAGTTCGTTTTGGACATTTGCCGGGAACGTCACAGCCGGTGCATGTGCAACTTACAGATATATTATAGGTGATTGGTACCACCCAATGTCGAACACACTCCCAAAGAGGGTTGCAGTTCTCGCACGGAGGCAGCTTATCGCCAGGGCGGGTTCAGCATAATCCGTCGGCGCAGACGAAGGAGGTTTCCGGGGGTGCTGCATGCATGAGAATAAGCTTCTGCGCTGCTCACTCCAAACATCTTGAACTACATTGAGCCATCCTTGCAGGGCATGGCCCGAGAATGGAATGAAACCTCCGAGTGCTCGCAGGTCCTCCTCCACACGGTGCGTGGCGGCCATGCCGCTCAGGTGCAGCGAGCCGTGTCCGCTGCCCTGCAGGTGGGTCGCATGCAGATTCCAGTTGTCTCAGAGGTATGGGTCAAACGGTTAAGCCAAGGCAGCCAACGGGCTTGGACGAGTCTGTTTGCTATCTCTTTCCTTACCGCCCAGTGTTTCACAGGCATCCGTTTTTTTTGGGACGGCTTGACTTGACCGGGCTTCTGTAAATCCGCCACAGAGCGGCACTCACGTCGGTTTCTGCTGCATGGCTGAAGTTCAACCTTACCTCAAGCATCCAAGAAAGGCTTGTGCTATACAGGCCAAGTCACACGAACATCCCACGCTCAGAAGCCTTACGGACCTTAAACACCGAGCCGCAAGCCCCGACCGAGTTGTTTTAAAGCCATGGGGAGCCTTCTCGGTTGTGTGGGAGCTCCAGCGCTATGCAGGTGGAGGAAAGCCAAGGATCCAGAGCCTCAGAGTGACTTGGGCGTATAGAGAATGAGAAAGATCATGATGAACAGGATAATGACGACAACTTTCTTCATTGTGGTGATGATGGTCATGAGTTGCACCTTCTGTGCGTGTCAACGGCCTCCTACAGTAAACGTGCAGCTGAGCGGGTGGGAAAAATGTTGGCGCCTGTAGCTTCGACTACGTGCTTCCAAGCCCAAAGACCGTGCACCTGTCAGCTGTCGTTGTGAGCTGGAAGAGTCGTGCTTGAGGGGCAACTGTCCCCCGAGATTTCCTGACAAGGATATCATACAGACCATGGAACGGTCAGGCACAAGGCTTCGGAGGAAGAATCGTAGGTTCAGTGATCGACAGATTGGAACAGTCGAAATACTGTGGGAAGGTTAGTGAAAGTCGCAGGAGTGCAAGGATTACATTACATGTATTCGGCATTGACGAAGAGGAAAGCCGAGTAGTCTTGGTTTCGGGCTACGGATTTGTCAAGGCCTGTCTTGCTTGAGTTTTCGGCATCGAAGTGCGAAGCTGCAAACGGCCCGGCAAACCTGTCGAGTCGCGGGCTCAATACGAGGCAGTCATTCTCGAGGCACCCTCGCGGCCTTTCCATGCCCGCTCTCATCAGCTGAGGTGTTACTTCGCGCTCGCTCGCCTGTTGGATTTCAAGGCCCTCCCGGGGAGCATAGGCCAAGCATCAAGTGGCTGGTGCCCTCAATCTGCCCATGCCTTTCGAAACGTTCCAACCGGGCGGGGCTTAGGATGGAAGCTGCTCTGAAAAAATTCTTCGGAAGCTGCTCGCATGCGAATCCTGGGCATCTTCCCCACTGCCGCTTTAAAGTCTCCGAGAAACAAGCCGTCGAGAACTCAACGGCCGTGCTTCTCCAGCTGGACCTCTTCGTCCTTTGGCGCCGCGCGTCGGTACCGGCCAGCTCCTTCAATGCGGCAGGGGAGCGCCTGGCACTACGTGTGGGAAGGTGTCCATATGGCTGGCATTTGATAGTGTTTGCAGGCTTGGGTTAACGTTGAAGGAATGGCTCAATCCCAGCCGTACATCTCACGCTCTGCGTATTCGCTATGTGGCTGGTTCATTGTCTTAAGATTCATGCACAAAATGTCGGGTGACTCGGCTTCAGTAGTTGGCGAGAAGTAGAGCAGGGCCAGCACTGCCCGACTGCATTCTCACTTCGTTTGCATTCCAATCAAGACTCAGGGCGAGCCTTGATTCATGCGATGGAAAGACTGGTGTAACGCTTTGCTTCATGTAGCTTCCTGGATCCGATCGCCAAGCCCAAGGCTGTTAAGAGTTGATCTTCTTCCTCGAGGGTGACACATAGATTGCAAGAGTAAGGGGATGCTGCAGACATTCGGGTGTGGTACAGTCTTTTCGTGCTCTCTGCCCGCTCGTTTGCAGTTCGGTGGTCGACATCTTCATCTTCGCGGGCGTGCCGGAGCCTACCATGATCGAGAAGAGGCCTTGCCGAATCTGTGAGAGTCGCCACGAGTGCCGTCGCAACGTTGCATAGCAGCTGAAGAGTGTTCAGCAAAGCACCGCAGTGCCCGAGTTGGGGACTGTCTAGAGGTGGAAGGTTGGACCTGTACCATTGTTGGAACTCCTTCCGTAAACCCCTCCCCTCGCGGTCGTCTTGTAATGCGTTTTGTGTGCTTGAGAGTTTCAAGTCTCAGACCGTCTTTGCATCTCTTGAATCCTCACGTCTCCTGATGCGACTCCAACGACAACCAAACCGCTTCTCAGACTCAGATTGAGCACAAGGGACTTGAGTCAACCCAAGCCTGTCGCCGTGCCTTGTCTCAGTCAACTTCCCGATGTACTCGTATCAATCTGAGCAACCTCGCTGCACCAAGCAAGTGCCAACCTCCCAGTCCTTGCCTTTCAACCAGCTAGAGTTTGAAGCCGAGGCGCCAGGAAAAGTTGTGAATGCAAGTGTGCAGCATGAGTGTTTCTCCGAACTGGGCCCGAGGCTTCGGGCCTACGTTCCCGCTCATGTTTTTTGACAGGTTCGCAAAGGGGCCGCTGCACATGTGGCATGCGAAGTGCAACTGCAGCTCCATGCCGGCATGGTTGTTTTCGACGTAGAGTGTGTTCACGACAATCTGCGGGGCTCATGCCTTGCACAGGGCATCGTCAACACTTCCGACCAGTGGGAATGGACGCAGCCCTGCCAAATCGTTGAGTTTGGGCTGCAAACTCGCTGACTTGGCAGCGCTGCTTCCATTCAATCACGGGCGAAGGCTTCAGCATGCGTTGCCGACCGCGGTTCAGTTGGCAGGACGTCAGGTCCCACCATACTTCGAGGAAGTGTGGCACTCCGAGCTGAGCCCTTTCATGGAGCAGCATTCGACGAACTCGTGCTGAAGAAAGAGATCGCCTGTCTTCAGCTGGACATGTCTTGTTTCCCACGGTTGATGTAGGCGGACCCAGCGGCCGAGCACAGCGATCCGAATGTTCAATGAACAGCCGGCGCTACTGCCACAGGTTCCTCGAAGTTGAAGTGCTTTGCCTGCTTTGCCATGCTCCATATGTGGCAGATGCCTTAGCCGCCTCCAGGTGTTGGACCTTGCCAGCATGCTGCGCAATGGATTGCAAACCCCGCTGAACGTTCGAAGGAAAAATTCTTGGCCCGCTTTCACGCATATTGGAGCACTGCAGGAAGCGGTACTTGTTGAAGAACATTGCGTTCGTTCCGGCACCGCCCGTGTCTGTGCCAATGCAAGTGCCCGCGTCAGCTGCTGCACGGGTCGCTTGTGCCTCCACAGCCTCCCACACCATGGGTGCACCACCACCGTCTGCACCACTGCCTCCGTTTGTGCACACCCGCAAACGGAGACGGTGGTGGTGGCATAAGTGGCATCATGGTCCAGCCTCGGTTCCCCAGGCGCCGGGCCCACCATCCTTGCTGCCGACCTTCGCTCCGGCCACTGTCCGCACCGTCTTGGAAGAGGATGGCCTCAGGAAAGAGGATCCGAAGGAGAAGCAGAAGAAGAAGAATCGTGCAGAATGATGGGACAATACCTTTTTCTGGCTGCCATGGACATGACTGGTGGGCTTCATCCCACTACTTCTGCGATTCCTCCTCCGATGGAGGGACTAGAGGGACTGTATTGTCATTGCTACCAATCCTATGCCCTATGCAAAAGACTAAAGCATGGCCAGAGAGGTGGTACCGGTGGCTGCAGATCCCACTACGCAGCAACCCCCTGGTTCCGTTTTCGTCCGTGGTTCTTAGGCTGCCAGAGATCTTGCAGTCGCAGCCTTCTCCCTTTCTAGGCTTCACTGCACTGCACTTAATTGGGATAGTTTCAAAACGGTTGAGCGGAAGGAACGGCCGAAGTTGGCCGCGTCTCACTGCCGCGTCTGTCCATTTCCTAGTATGACCGAGTCTGACTGTCAAACTTTGGGTTTCTCTTATTCCCGGGGCTCCACACGACAGATGCTGTTGTAGGTGGCCGAATCCATCGTGCGATCTTTTCTGGATCTGCGCGTGAAGTGCATTCGTCATTCGTGGTCTGCAGACACATAGGGACGCGCCGGCTTTCCTCTCGCTCTCGGCCGCAAACATGCATGAAAGAATGAGTGCTTCGCAGAGGCTGGTGCTGGCACCCACCGGAGCCGGAAAGTCTACATGGCGCACCCACGCGCCCGTGTTCTGTGCCTCCACCTGCATTTTCATCCTACATGCAAGTTTCTTAATCGACGGTCAACATATATTGGCCACTGGAGCCGCTGGCTGTGAATAAAAGAAATATCAATTTCAGGTGGTTCGGAAGCTTCCAGCTTCCGTGGATCCGAGGCCCAGAAGGCGAGGTTCTGGATGAAGTGACCTTCCATCCGGCCTACCACAGGCTGAGCAGGGTTGTTGAGCCTTGCGGTCCCAACGCCTGGGCCTTTCGATTAGGTTACCGGGTGCCGCATGCAAGGCTTTGGGACTTTAGCCTTACATATATGTTTGATTTGGCAGAACATGCCATGTTGATGACTTTGGAAGTTGAGTCTACGTACTCGGCCAAGAAACGCTGTTTAGGGTGAAGTTCCCTGTGATTCGCTTTCGCCAGGCCTGTACGACTCAAGCACGGAAGCTGGCTCAAGAGCGAGGACCTGCCTCATGCTAAGCATGGTGTCTGCTGTGTCCCTCCGAACCGCATCCTTGCAGAGATGTCATGGACTGTTCGGTCGGCACGTGTTCGTTGACATCCAGCCTTCTACGTGCATAGCATGCCATGCAGCTTGTCTGAGGAGCACCTTTTACCTGCCACATGGCGCTGTACGACTTGCTTAGAATCTAGAAGGCAAGGATCGTCAGAAGCACTGCTAAAGTTTGTGTTCTGGTTCAGAGCATCAGAGTTTTGCTCCGAAGACTGGAGGTCTTCGAGATAAGTAGCCAGTAGCCCCAGCTACTTGCAAGCCTGCCCTCAATTCTCAGGCAGCCGGAAGCCGTTGACAAAACCGTGAGCTGTGGTAGCATCTGAAGCCCCAGACGCTGAGAGCTTTTAGCACCCGCCTTGCCATCATCTCTGCTTCCACTCTTCTGTTCTCCTGCCGGAGCTCTATCACATCAGGACTACTTGCTATCGCTACGTCTCAGTTGTGACACTCCACATCCCATCCTGAGATTCTGAAGGAGCCCGCTCCCTCGATATTCCTCCGGGATCTGCGGCTTTTACGACGCTGGCTTCGTGCAGACCGCCGTCGACGGGTTACATTCAACTGCAGCGGCGAGGCGTCCGCGCCGTGGGTCCCAGTTCCCAGTAGTTCCTGCCAGGACCTACGCAAGAAACAGCAGTTCCAACAAGGTGGTTTGGTTCCGTGCATTGCAGGCTTTGGGGCCTTTGTCCCGGGAGTATCCCGTGTGTTTGTGGCTGAATTAGGCAGAGGCAGTGCCTGTGTCTGCTGGGTGTCAGTTCTGGGGAAACTCCACTGCACGCGGCGACGACTTTTGGTCCGGACCTCTTGGCTCCTTTTTCAGCCCTTGATTCACGCTCCCGACCAACGGCCATCTTGGAACTTGCCGCATGACCCCTAATGTTGAATGGGGGAGGGCCGGCCCTGCGCCAATGAAGGGTTGTTGTTGAGGGGGCGTTATCTCTATTGACAATTGATGATGGTGGATGCTACTGCCCTTACTCTCGCTTCTGCCCTTGCTCTTGCAACGTTTTATTGTTTATTTGGTGGTGTGGTGGGGTGTTCAACAAAGCGGGGACGGGATTATGAGGGTTCGGAGCAAACAGTAAAAGCATCCTAGTCATTAGGTTGTCGGTCATTGTACTATGATACGACCCCCGAGCCGCATACTATAGGGGCTTCAAAATAATTTCCTATACCATTTTGAGGGTTCCTTGTTGTAATTATTATGGTATAATGGCCCCCTTGAAGCCCTATTCGAATTATTAAGGCCCCTACAGTACCTCCCGGAGGTGCTGGAGAAGGCCTGCGAGCTGAACCTCCTGCGGCCCGAGGAGGTTTGTGTCGTGCTCCCGCACGAGGCCGCAGTGATGCAGGAAGTATATGGGAGTTTCCGAAAATTAGGGGTACCTTATCTTGGGGTCCTTATAATAAGGATCCTACTGGTTAGGGTACCATATTAGGGTGCCCTATTTTCGGAAACACCCATATTGATTATGTCGATTATGTATTGTTCAGTTCAGTTTACGGTAAGGCCAGGAGATTGTTTTGTAAGGGTTTGCATTTCGAGTTTTAGGGATATTTTAGAGTTTCGGGTTCAGTAAGTCTACCAAAGAACCACAGGCTCCAGATGATTCACAAGATATCGGAAGCTTCTGAAAAGCAGTGTGCCTAGATCGGTATGTGCCGATGGATTTTCTTGCCTCTCGTTTCGCTCCGCTCTGCAGTCCAGATTGAGTGTCGGAGTTTCAGGTTTTCGTGTTCACTTGGTGGTGTAGGAATTCATGCTTGGAGGTTTGGATTTTTTCAGGTGTGACCTTTTGAGTTTCGTCGACATGCCATGTGCTGCAAAGGTGGTTGTCATCTAAAGCCGAAGCTTCCAGCCAGGTGGTGCACCAGCGCTTCATTTCTGCACGAAAGGCTGCCTTGGACGGACTTCCGAGGCCGGCGGCGGCAGGTACGACCAAACGTCACACAGACCTTTAGGCATGAAGGTTGTTCGTTCTTGCTGCTTTTGTGATGAGACCGAGACCACACTTCAATCTGCTACTAATGTTGGTTATCTGCAAAAGTCTTAAAAGACTCGAGAACGAAGAGCGTATATCTCTGACTGCACCCGCCTGGTGCGACCTTTGCCTGTTGCAAGCGTAGACGCCAGCGACTGCACTTACTGCAGCTGCTGCGTCGACTGTTGCTCGTCCCTCCGCTTCTGCCCCGGTTGCCGTCGCGACTTGTTTACTGCGCAGCTACTACCATGGCGACTTCTTCCGCTGATGCCAAGAAACACACGGCCGACTGCAGCCACATACCGCTCCAGAGCTACTTCCGCCATCAGGACCAAAAAGCCGAAGGTAGATCCCTCCTTGTCACAGTGGGAGGCAGGACCTCGGCAGAGCCTCAGTTGACTTCAGCTTTCGACGTCAAACCTCCGGGCATAGGCCGACTGTAGCAGTTTCACAAGAGGATTACGGACTAACCTGAAGCGTAGCGCTGAAAGCCATTGTTCGGGTTTGAGTGCTAGGCTCAAACTCTTTGGGGAGGTTGCCTCGGAATCAGACGGAGTTGAGGTGAGATTTCTGTGGGTTCTCGTGGTCCCACGCTGGATGCAGGCAGTGGTTACCCAGTTGTTGCATGAGTTTGTTGCACTCACCAAAGATATCGTTGCTGCATGGTGCATGACATGAACGACTCAAGCGCGTGTCTTGTGATACCGCTGTGTTCGCCACCTTGCTACATGTATTTCGGAGAGTGCGTCTTGGCAAACGAGCCACATAATGTCTTGAAGGCCATAGAAGTTGCGATGTGGGTTGGATGGAGGATTCAGAGCAACCCTGGCCCCTGGCCCAGGAATCGAGAAATGCTGCGGACTGCAGCTGAAAAGTGCGGCATCAGCGCCGTCCCTGAAGTCAGTTTAGCATGGTGTCGGTAAGTCGGTTCGCTTCGGTTTGCCTGGCCCAGCCTGAGGCCTTGCCGCTGCATTTGCAGTGCTACGAGCCTCTCAACAGGGCCCACGTCCATAAGTTGCAGATCCTTCCGGCTTACGGTTGCGTGGGCTCCACGAACTTTCGATGTGAAGATGGGAGTTCCATTCGCGACTACTGTTGGGTTTGCGGTGATGACAAAGAGAGAGCCAGCCAGCCGGAGCAACTTCTGTGGCCAAGGCCAAAGCAGTGTCAAGTTCAGGAATCTGTTTAGCTGTCTTTTTGCTACAAGCACGGCAGCAATATGGCACAGGCCCTACCCGAGCAAAGCAAACCCAGTGAGGTGCCTACACCTCCTTCGCTGGGGCAATGGGTGCTGCAGTCCACATCTTTTGCATGCTCAGGAGAGGGACAGATTTCTGTTTGCTTCCGGCTTCCTTCGAAAAGTTGAGGTTCCACGTTCCCAGCAGTTCCTCCGGAGGAGACATCAAGGCTCCAGCGAGGAGCCCTTCTTGGTGGAGCCGGCATTGGAGGAGTGGAGGGCTCAGAGCACCTGGACTTCTTGTTTCAGCTGCGCATGAATCGTTCGATTCATGCATTCTAGGATCAGGTTCGCCGGGGGCTAGCGAGATGAGAGATCCGGCAGGGACTAAAACCAAAGTGGCGTAAAACTTACATTGCTCTTTCAGGATTCACCTGAAACACACTGGGCCGTTTTTGCTTTACACCAACAGCAGCAATGTGCCCAAGAGAAGGAAGGAAGGATGGTCCGAGAATGGATGCTCGAATGAACAGTTTGAGACAGCTTCCTGGGCAGGCCTGACAACCCCTATCAGACCTATCAAAGAGCTCAACTCAACCCTTGTCCCAACAGACATCTACGCTCCGAAGCTGCAAAATTCAGCGCTGCATAAACCGAATCTCTTATGAGGCAAGGGCAAGGCCTCGGGGTGGCAAGCGGAGAGCTGCGTAAGCGGAACACTCCTGCATGTGGGTTGCTCTGGCTTCTGTTCATGACTGTCGTCGCCTCATTTTAGGCTCCAGGCCAAGCACGACCTCACCATGGCCTGTGGCCGACGTATTGTCGACTGGAAGCTCGTCGGGTCGATCTTGCAAAAGCAGACAGCTGGTTCCTTCAAGGAGAACAAGCCTCAAGATCTTGTAGACAACAGTAGCCGCGGCATTCAACTGAGAGGTAATGTGTCCCACTTTGCTCTTCCGCTTCGGGGTCGTGCTGGCAGGCAGGCTGACCGGGGAGATCTGTTATATTGTCCAGGTCGCACCATAAGATTGCCGACAGAATCACGGAATGTCATGCGAACTGGGGTCAGACTCCAGCAAATCCCACAGTAGGAACATGTAGGAATTTCTCTGTGTTGCTTCCACAGCCCCTCCGAGAGCTTGAAGCTGCCACGGTGCTGCAGTGCTTAGGATCAGCAAAGGCGGCAGCGTTACAGAGTCCAGCCACTTGCCTATGGTATCAGACCTGAGAGTGACACTGAACTCCGAGGAGACTATACCAAGGTGTGACAGCGCACGGAGGCAGATGCAGAACATGACATTCACACTGCCTCGGCATTGGCATTCCTGTGCAAGGGACACGATATCAAGAAATGGAGTTCGCTTCTTCCCTCTCGGTGCTTCAGCCCGACCTAGCGTCCCAAGAACTGAACTCATAAATCCACGCCCGCGACCCTCATAGAAGTCTGAAGGCCTTTTATTGAATCCTTTCGAAGCATTTGCCCAGCGTGCTGCGGCTTTTAGGGCCCCAATTCCAGGCGACCTGCCGGGAGCCGGTGAGCGCGCCGTCTGGCAGGTGAGCGCGGAGTCTTGCGACTCTCGGCGAAGGAACTCGTGTGGGTAAGGGCTCGGATTCAAGCCCTTACTAGCTCCAAGAGGGGCCAGCATGAGAGGGGGGGCTGGGGACTTGGTCCTTGCCTGTAGGGCAATCCTTCCTTGGTACACTCCAAAGATCGACAGATTCGCCAGCAAAGTCGTGGGATTCTGATCAAAAATCAGCATGTTTGTTCAGGCTGGGCCGTTTTGCGGCTTGACCTCTGCAATTCCATGCATGTCAAGGTGAAGGTGGTAGCTGACCAACCGGTGTTGGATGTGAGTTCTGTTCGACCCATGTACACTCCCTCCGGTTGACGCTCGCCAAAATACCCTCAACAGAACAACACACCTGCTGAACCAAGGACTCTGACACATATATCGTCAAGAGCACATCTGGCTTCCTGCTGCTGACGGATGGGCGCACCTTGATCAGCGCAGAGGCCGAGGAATTGAACAAAATGCAACCACAGCATTCTGGGGAGTCTTCTCGAATACTAGCGCAGTGCGGACAGGTGCGGAGGACTAATGACTGTCAACAAACGAAGTGCAGTTGCTGCATCAAGAACCAAATCCAAGAGTATCAGGGGTCCTGGGCTCTTGAACTGAGCTGCAGGATCCGTATCGTGAAGCTTCTGAAGTCTTCTGGTCCCGTGCTCCTGACGAAGCAGAGACGGCGCAAGAAAGTTTTTGGCTCTGCGGCCGCGATGCCGGACAGTTGCTCGGCAGTTTGGAGTGAAACAGGAGCTTTGCCTTCGGCTTTTGTGAAGGTCGCCGTAGTTAATTCTCAACGGTCGCATTGCACATGACCGTCGCCTCTGGTAAGATCCACGGTCTTCTGGTGCTTGCAGGCGCCTTCACGCCCGACGGTGTACTGGATGCGCCTCCTTCGACCCGCCAGGGCCATGGAGGCCCGTGAGAACGGCTTAGGACCATGGCTCGGCTTGAGGGATCTCGTCAGCCCTCGCAGTTTCTGCGTTGCCAGCCGGGAGGCACGTGCTTCCCGTGGACCGCTTGGCAGACGAGGCACCCCGTTCTAAGCTCAGGGCTGAGGGTGACTACCGTCCACCGAATCCTGGCACAGCAAGGAACATTTCGGGTCATTGAAAGCCCAGCAGGTTTTACATCTTTAAGGGTGGGATGGTTTTTTTGTGCGAATTCCGGTCCACACTTGCTGTCCTCCTGGTCTTGGGCAATGGGTAGGAGAAATTCCCTGACGACTCCAGGGCGATGTCATCCTGTGGTACCCGGGATCTTTCGCGCCCTTCCACCTGGGCCATCTTGACTGCCTGACGCTTTGGCTTCGAATTCACTTGGATAGGACATGTCCTCGTCATTGCTCCTGAGATGTTGCTTCGCGCCGCTGTTCTTACATCACTACTGCCAGAAGTCTATGAAGTGTTTGGTTTCTTGTTCAAGGTACCTGTATGTGCTGGAAGTACCCATTTGACAGAAGGTGGTGCAATGTTGCAACCAGGAGGTCAGAAGGGCTGGGAAAAGTTTCTCTAAGTTCCGTGGGCCAGTTCTGAAGACACAATGCCACAGTGGGCTCGTTTCGGCATGTCGGTTACGATATGTTACGATCTCTAAGCCATTCCAATTCTCCCGAAGCCATTCAGAATCCCAAATCAGAGATCAGAGACCACGGGGCGCACCCTTCTGTATTGGTTTTGCTTTTTTGGGCTGCTAGTTCAACCAGACGTCTCGGACGGCCGGAAAGCTTCCAGGCAGCGAGTCCTAGCATTCCACCTCGATCCTTCACCTCTTTCGGAGCGTGGAGCTTCCAGCACCAACAACCTCTGCCGATCTTGAGACCTCTTGCAACCTAGCGTGTGAAGCAAGTCTCTTGGATGTGCAGCAATGACCAGTCTCTGCAGACCGTCACAGTACATAGAAAGTACAGTGATCAGGCGAGCTGCGCGGCATGGGCTTCAACAGCGTGGCATGAAAGTGGCAGGCCAGTTCATCACATACTTCAGTCGTTCTTGGATTGTATATTATGCTGGATATTTCTGGAATTGGTTTGGGCTGCCAAGACCCTCTGACTGCGGCTGGCACCGGCGCGAAGCACCACGTGCATGATAACTCCATCGGTGGCGTCTTGGGTGTGAAGACGTCTCGGGATTCCCTTCCGCCTTTAAAGCTGTGCTGCACGGTTCCCAACCGTCCAGGACAACGGTAGCAAGCACAAGCGGCGAGATAGTATTATAAGCCCACAAAAATTCAAACTTGCGGGGGCACCGTGACAACTCGAACAAAACAGTCATCCAGGTTTTTTTTGAAGAAAATCGATTCACTGGCTGCAGGTGCCTACGCGAAGCCCCAGATGCCACGGAGCCTGCGATACAAGATGCTCGGACCAGATGACGTCTTCAGAGGGCGATAGCAAGCAAGGGCCTTCCATGCCAAGGCAGAGGACACCACTTACAAGAGTCAGGAACGGATCTCTTCATATAGGAGCTCCACATATCTACGAGGACTCAGATCGGGCATGTCCTCAGTCAGAAACTCCTGCAAGGAACCTAGACGAGCATGGGGCGTCGATCTTTTCTTCCGGCCCCGTCCGACTGCGACTTCTGGAGCTCGTGGCTGCCCAAGAGGACCTCGTTTAGCGCTCAGAGTCGACAGCCCGGCTAGTGTCATAACAATCACCAGGACGATTATGCACCCTATGAGCCGTGAACATACCGAAGTTCAAGACTGCATGCGTCTGTTCCAGGTTCGTGAGGAGTATGGTTGCCAAATTCGTCTATATGACAGCTGTCCTCCGTCATGACATTCTTCATGTGTGTGTATACTGACCAAAGGTCCAACATAGGGCGGATGCACCCAGAACAACCCTCACGTCCAAGCGGCCGTCCTCCACTTTGTCTCACGTACAGCGGGCATCACCCGACCATGGCCCAGCCTCCCATACCTCAGACGAACAGGCCCTGCATCGTGAATCTGATGTACAATGTAGCCCCAACATGTAGCCTCCAAGTCCGCTGATACCTCTATATCCGAAACCCTTGAAGCTTAGACCCTTGCAGGAAGTGAGAAGCTAAAGCCCCCGCTAAACCGAACATCCGCAAAAGCCTTCGATTCTAACCTCCTTACGGAAAGCTCCAAGCAATTCTGCAACTTACACCAGAAGCCTCGTGAGCGCTACGGTCTGTTCCTTAAATCTCAAGAATCCCACTTGACCTGGAATTCGCCAGGACTGGGTCATGGCGGACCCTTACGGCGTACTTCGCGGGACTGGAAACAACTTCCAGGACCTTCGAGCCTTTCGTGCCTTGAGCAGGAGCTTTGGACTTGAGAGGTTGGGATGAGGAGACTTTTCAAGTGCTGTCTACGGACCGGGACTTGACAGAGTCTTGCTAGGAATTCCAGAAGCTTTGAGGACACCGACAGGTCGGTCTAGCTTCAATGTATCGAGGTCTGCTGTTCCAGCGGTTTTCCGTGTTCTCAACAATTCGAGCTTGCGAAACGGCTCCGGTTCCAAAGCAGCACATCTTTACCTCAGTACAGCTTGTAGTAATCATCCGTCACAAAGATTGGCCGTTGAGTAAAGCAGGTTTCTATCCCAGTCCAGCAGCCTGCATGGCTTTCTGGATGTCGAGACGTGTCTTGCAAGCCCTTTCGCCAACCATGCAGGTGCCAATTTGAGGGCTACGCTTTCGCGACTGGGATCAGGCGCTCGCTGTCTCGAGACACAGAGAACGTTTGTTTGTCCGAAAGTCCGTCTACACTGCATGTGTGTGATTGTGTGTGTGCGTGCATGCATGTGCTCCTGCATGCAGAAGCCCATCTTCTGTTGATTGCGCCCGACACCTTCAACTTCCTCTTGCAGCCTCTGACCCTGCGGGAGGTCGCGCTGAGTGGGCATCCTCCGTGGAGATCGTTTGGGTGATCGGGGATGATGCCTTTCCACATCTCAGAGACAAACTTCTCAGCAGGCCCGCTCCTGCACTTCGACAACGTCTCGTTGTGGGCAGGAAGGTAGTGGAACCTGATGCTGCTCGGCAGCTGGCTAGCGCACCAGAGACCCTGAACAGTATTAGAGCTTTAGCCTTCGGGCAAGCAGTCGCCTTTCTCAGGGAGGACGTGCCGAAGGACGATGCCCTGAAACAGGTTGGACTGCGGGGCTTGGCAGGTTGCTTGAAGTTCCAAGGGCTATGAACATTGACAAAGGGTACTGTATGTGGGCTTCCTAACTTTGGCTGAGGTGGTTGTCATGTAGATTTAAGGTTATATACAAATATGAATATACGTGTATAGATATATAATAAGACAAGATACACACATAGTTGTAGACCTGAAAGCCAACCTTAGCCGATCGCTTGAAGATATCATTCAACAACCGGAGGTGGGCCCCATGCGGCCCCCTGGCAAGCATCGAGTTCGAGGGCGGGCTGGGAGAAGTGGCGTCATGCAACGTTTTGGATCGGGTTGCAGCTTTACGGACTGAGACGTGTTGGGAAGCGAAGCATATACCGTTCTAGACCTGGCTGCTTGACTGACACTGCTCCGGAGGGGTGTCTGCCGGTCTCCGAGGATGTGTGTCGTGCACAACAGACCATCCCAGTGGATGCTCACCTGCAGCAAAGAAGAGGTCGGCCCAGTGTTTCAAACCTACGGAATCCTTTCATGTCAGGTCATACATGCACGTTCTTGTCACAGGCCTGCTTTCCCGGGTTCTGTCTTGTGACCGTTCGGAAGAATGCTAGTCGGGTCGCCACAGTTTTCCAGTTCGATGAGCTGCAGACTTCGGTCCCAAACGCACCAAGGACGGCACTTGGGCCGGGCACAGAAGGTTTGCCTTTCCCCGTGTGACTTGGGCAATTGAGACTTTTCCTTGCGACACCAATCAAGCTTGGACAGGCACAAGAATTTCCACAATATCTACCAGCATGTCGAACTGTTTTCCTAATACATAAAGCATCTCGAACGCCAGTTTGGCTCAACACCTCATGCATTGGTCCAAGAAACCAGGATGGAAGTGACGGCACCTCCGGAGTTCTCGGCAGACTCTTGGCATCTTGATCGGCGTTGCAGTTCATGCTTCGAGGAAGTCTTGAGCCTCAGTACGGTGAACTCAAGGCACCCGAACCCATCTGTACACTGTAGTCCTGAGCACGCGAACTCCCAGTTGCCGTCTTGCGCTGGCCTTGTCGCCCGTCGCTTGCCATACCTGTTCCATCCTGTTCCTGTTGTTCCCATCTGTCGGTAGTCCTATTGGGACTAAGCATGCGGTAACCTTCGTATTGTTCGGTTTCTCGCACTATCAATCCAGTTGAATCCAGCGTTTCTGTGTCCTCATTTTTCATCGTTATAGTACCTGAAAGCCAAGGACCTCAGCGCGACGGCGGTGCGGCAGAAGTGGCGACAAGGGGCCTCCGAGGACCGATCCAATCGCTTTCTGACAGTTTAGCTGCCTGATGGGCACCGATGACGTTTGGGGCTTGGTGTTTGGGCTAGGCTGATGTCCGTCGGTCCCGTGTCCGTGGCCTTCTCTTTCCGATGGCCTGTGCTCGCTTTCACTAGTGCACACCTTGAGAGCACTGGCAGTAAATTGTTCGGTCAGGTGAAATTCGGCTTTTCTTCTGTGACTGCAGAGTGCATGTACGCTTACGGAATTTTTAGCCCTCAGCTCCGAAGCATCGCACCGCTAGGATGAATTGGTGCAGCTGATGGGCAGCTGCTTGTCACGATTCACGGGCTTCGTTCTGAGACTTGCAATTCGGACGCAAGGGGCCGAACTGTGCAAGGAAGCAGGCGTGTGCAAAGAAGCACGTTCTTTGCTTGAATCTTGATTGCTGCTGTCTCTGTAGTACGTTAACAAGAGCTATGATGTAGAAGGGCCTGTATGTACAAATACACATAGCCTAATGAAACATGACGCCATCAGACAGCTAAAGATGAACAAGTAAATGTGTGAACACGTTTGTACACACACATATCTGTATGTACGTTACATACTCATATGCGATCACGCGAGCGCGAGAATGACAGACACATGTAGCCATTGGCAACGTACGGTATACAAGGAGTACATATATGTATATGCACATGTGTGTACACGTTTTTACATATACATATGGAGACAGATCTTTGTATATGCAAGAAGGAAAGAGAGATATGTGTACACACATGAACTCATACATGCACGAATACATGCACTCATAAAACCTGTACAGTTGCACCTGCACCTGCACCTGCACCTGCATCCATCCGTCCATCCATCCATCCATCCGTCTGCATCCATTCATCCTTTCATCCGATACGTACATACACCCATACTAGCAGTTACTAGCATATTTACACACACACACACATATGTATAATTTAATGTGGTGTGACGTGATGTGATGTAATGAATATAATGGCCATGTCATGTCATGTTATGTTATGTTATGTATGCATGTACGTACGTAGTTATGTATGTGTGTGTACGTATAGACAGACACGCTTGCAGATAGCGACAGACAGACAGACAGCCAGGCAGGCAGCCAGGCAGATAGACAGAAACAGGTAGGTGTGTGTGTGTGTGCGCGATTGCAACCCTTCTGTTCACATTAAGTTCGCATACATCTCCCCCTTTCTTACTGTCTTGATAAAATGTTTCTAACAGCTCGAAGTTGGAGCTCTGGATTTCAGGTCAAGCCGCAGCCCACTACATGGCGAGCCTGCGGCAGCCTTGAGTTTGCCTACCGGACAGGCCTTTCCTCCGCCGACCTTCGACCACCGCTGATGGAATCAATCGACTGAGTGGTTCTTCGGAGTTGTAAGTTTCTGGGGTGCAGTGAGTCTCCGCGTGGCTGCGATGCAAGGTCTCCTTCCGCAAGTGCAAGTCATTGACCCTCGTGTAGCTCGTTTTCGATTCCCTGCTGGGCGCTGGCACTTCGAAGAAGTGCACATGCAGGCGTTCGCCACCAGCACGCTTCACAGAACCCTGCAGCACGGATGCCTCAGCATCCGGTGATGTCCCTTCTGTACATACATTGATTGATCTATCGGACTGTATAGGTAGAAACTCTCCGAAGTGCACAGCAGGCACAATAGAAGATCAAGCTTATGCGCATCAAATCCTGAACTTCTCAGTCTAGTAACAGGCACGTCCTCCCTCCCTCCCCCCGTCAGGAGGAGCTGCGCTGCGATTCCGCCGCCTCAAGCTTCAAGAGAGACCTGGAGCCCATCCTAGCCGCGAACCTAGGATGAGTGCAGTGCCTGAGCTACCAGCTTTGAGCTCAAAGCTTTGAGTACTGTTGCAATTCCATCGTGCTTTCGGGGAGTAAGGGAGATTGAAAGCCACGCAAATATGGCTGCTTTGCGTTTTCACTCTGCCTAATGTCAGCAGAGCGCAGGTCGCTCATGTTTGATCAGCTGCCAGGACTGCATGATTCCGGCTTTGAAAGCCAAGCAGGAGGAAGAGTATCAGCTGGGTGCACAAACTCGGAACGTAAAAGTTCAGCGGGCGGAGCTCCACGAACGCAGGCAGGTCGTGCTGGGCCTCTCGCAGGAGGAGGAGGAGGAGGAGGAGGAGGAGGAGGAGGATTCTGGAAGTACTGTGGCGAGGCAACATGCACTCTACCTTTCCGATAAAGCATGGAGCACCCACTCGGAGGCAGAGCCCATGCCGTCCCATTTTGCCCCTTAGCGGCCAAAGACAAGACGACGGAGAATGTGCAAGGAACGCAAGCCGATGCAAGCATTTTAGTGTCCGGTCCTGCTGTCGAGGTGGATGGCCAGCAGACTACCAGTTAGGTGTGTGTCCGGAGGAACTGCGTGGACATCCGGAGCGGGCCATACGCACAATGCGCGGATGTTGCAGGTTAGTTGCCTGAGCGGAAGGTGTTCGAAGTGAGACGTCGGACGCTTTCCGCTCAGGCGAGAGACCCGGCCTTTGCGGCACGATCTTCTTGGAACTTGCTGACGGCAGTGGGTGGGGTTTCTCCAAAACCAGCTCCGGAACTTTGCGCAAGCCGGCTGATGCGCAGCAAGCGGAGGCGAAGTGGCACGGCCAATCCTGGATGGAAAGACCATGAGTCAATGAGAGTTGGTCTTGAAGTGGGAGATCCCCGACTCCAAAACCAGAGCGGATGGGGAAGCAAATGATCAGGGTTGGTGGAAGATCTGTTGGAACAGCGGAAGAAAAGCAAGCATTTTCCGGTTCGGGCCACTACGCCAAGTGGAGTACCACGTAGCAGATAGCGCCGCCGTGCATAGAAGTCGATTGGGTCAGTCGGCACCGCCGGTTGAGTTTTTTTGCACATGCAGACTCGTTTCCAAATGCGAAAGCGGCAGCGCGCGGCAAGGGAAGCATCCGAACACGCTTTGGAGCCGTCTCGATGGCTTTTTCCGCTGGGAGGGAACGCGAAACTCATTGCGCTTCACTCATGCATACTCACACCATCTCCTCGTCGGTTAAGTCCTCGGAAGCTCCAGCAGACTTTGTGGAATCAAGTATCCCGCTTTGTTTGACCAGTGTTTTCATGTGGTTGCCGTATGCTGCAGTTGTCGTTGCGGTGATCATCCTCAAACAGCTTAGCACCCTCTAACGTGTTGGAAGACTCAAGAACCCGGTTGCTGAGACCGATGCCTTGCAAAGCTCGGTGGAGGACTCCCTTGGCTTGCGATCTTGAGAGGGCCTGAGCGGGGCTGGGGGCAGGGTCAAAGTGTAGTGTTTCGGGACTGACTGCCAGTGGCTATGGTTTTCAAGCTTTGGATTGATCAGCTTAGGGTTTCCGGTTTGAGTTTCTTGTCTGACTGTCAGGCTTGTTATTGTTGCGACTTCGTGCGGCCCGACGGTGCTGCATAGTGAATATCAATTTTTTGGTCTCATTTAGAAAGCTTGAGCTGGCCGTTCGCAAGCAGGAGCATGTCCTGACTCTCCGCACACCACCGGCTCAGGCCTGGATAATTATTGTAATGCGGCTTTGTGCGGTGCTTAAATTAATTGAGGGAGCTTGAGAGCTTGAACACGCTTTCGTTTCGCATCTCCAGGCTCAAAAGAAGCAATGATCAGACAGGAAAGCACTAGGCCACTACTGGTCGTAACACGTAGCAACCAGACATCAGATAGGACCCGAAAAGGACCGGCTTGTGTAACTAGTCCTCGCCTGTGGCATGCCCTTTCCGTTTGAGCTGTGTGCGACCAGCCGGGCTCGGAGCGAGGATGGCAAGTGCATCAAGTGCGGCCCTAGGTTGTGCTGTGAAGTCAGGCCTGAACAAACAGAGCTGGTGGTGCACCGCACTATGCCTGGGGTCTCTGTTTTTGCCGAAGCTGCAACCCTTGGCTCTGACGTGGACGAAGTGTTGTCGCACCATGTCCTGGACTGTTTGCAGGGCAGCTGGTACAGGAAAGCGGATGGAATGCACGTAGGCGCAGTATCTGGCTCGTTTCTTGAGGTCAGCGCCAGCTGGCTGCCCCATGTGACGACCTGCCGATTACCTCAAAACATCACTGACACCTTGAAGCTCTCCGTCGACGGAGAAAGTATTTATGGCTGCATCCGCCTAGAGGCGCAGTACTCTATTACCTGGAGCAACGGTGATGTGTGGCTTAAGAAGTGACTGCCGGGATGGCGAATTAGCCCAAAGGCAAACCTGAGCACGAGTTGACCCTCCGAGGCACCTTTTTGTCGAGGAGGTCGGCTGCCAAGGGAGGTTTTAAAGTAGATGAGGAAAGACACGGTGTGGGCAGATGATCCGAACACGACAAAACTGCGGACGGGTACCTTAGAGTATGGGTTCTCATCGCAGGATTTGTTTGCTTTATATGGACCGGCACAACATAACCACCTGTGCGGGCAGAAAGGGTCATGGGCCACCCAAGTACAGTAGCAGCTTGTTTCTTTACGTTTCACGGACATGGCGTCGAGCAATGTCTGGAGCCAAAACAGGGATCATTCGCCCTACTTCCCACACGGCTGCACTGTGCTGCTCTGACTCGAGTGCGGGCTTTTGAGAAGGACCGAATAATTACAGCTATGAAATTCTGTCATCTTGCACCGATGAGTAAGCAGTTCGGCATGATGACCGTGGGCGTTGAGGCACCACAAGTACATGTGGTCAAGGTATCGGTCAGTTTGAATCGGCAAGCGCTGTGTTGAATGTTCTGACCGGCCTCCACGACGGGAGCTCGGGTCAGGATTGAGCTTCAAAGCAGATTCGCAAGTCGGGGCTGTAGGGATTGCAAGTCTTAAGCTTAAGCCTTTCTCGTGAGATGTCCTGAGATCAAGTGCAGGTCGGTGGCCAGTCGTGTGAACACGGCGTGGATCCCTGGTGCGACTTGGCTTCGTCAGTGCGGGCACAGAGCCAGGAGGCCTTCATGTTTGCAAGCCAGCTTCTTGCTGCCGTGCGACTCGTCGCTACCTGTGCCTGGCGTACCGCGCCTGCTCAAACTAACTGTCGGATAGTCAACTAACCCCTCTCCGATTTCCATCAAGGCTCATGTCACTTAATAAGTCTCCGTTGGAACTCTTACGCTTTGCTGTTCCTTGCCGTTCCGAAGGTCGAGGTTCTTTAGGGTCTTGCACTGATGCCTAGGCGAGGACATGGCGACACGCTTCGCACGCCTGGACCCACGCCAGCGCCTGGCTCTCCAGGCAACCGGCTCGCGTTTCGCGTGTTTTGCACATCTAGCTGAATCTGGCTATTCTTGTTTCGATCAAGGATCCTGGATTCCTCAAATATACCAATAAACCGTAGCCTACCTGTTGCTAAAACACTCCGTCACCGCTTCAGGGTACCCAATACCCTCGAGGCCTTGGCCTTCCTTGAAATCCAAGCAATCCAAGTGCCTGGAATAAGGGCTTCCTCTTTCCAAGGAGCTCCTGGAAGTGGCAGAGAAGGCCTCCAAAGGGACACTGAGGGCCTGCCGGGAGAGAGTTCTTTTTGGAATGCTGTTGGCGTCTTGGGCGGGGGCTTTGTCTCTGCGAGGCTTTGGTCCAGGAGTGTTCGTTCGCTTGTGTGGTTGAGGTATTGAGTTTGCCTTGGATTTTTGGGTTTTGGGGCCTCGGCTGCTGCAGCCGACACAGTGGGGAGGGGCGGGGGGTATGATATTTTGGGCATGTGGGGTGTAGGCCCTGGGGGGCTTCTTACGTTTGTTTTTGGCTTCGAGTCTACGGCTATAGATGTACTTGTCGCTTAGTGGGTTTTACATGGGTTTATCGGGTTATTCATGGGGGTTTCGGGCTCGTGTGGCTGAGGTCGTGTGCCAGTCAATCCATGCCAATGCATGCCTGCATGTTCGACCAGGTGCCCTCGCGACCAGCGACCCAGTCCGGCGAGAGCGGCGGAAAGCAAAAGATGCGACTGCAGAGATGCCGTCTGGGCAGGGGTCAGGCCACGTAGTGAATTGGGCACACTGGTGTCGAAGGCTTGGTCAGCTTTCGGCTTGGCACACCTGGCAAGAAAGTTATTATGCAACTTAAGTGTAGTTTCGGCAACAAGGATTTGATCGCTCTCTTAAGCCCCCTGAAGGGGGCTTACAGGCTTGCGTTTTACATCCTGGGCTTTGGTTGTTGAGGGTTGCGAGTGCGTCATCTGCACAAATGCAGATTGTTGCTGGAGTATCTTCTGCAGGGTTGTGCAACGTCATGATTCCAACAGGTTTTGGGAGAGAATCTTTTGCGAGAAGAGTTCAGAAATAGCATATCGCGGGTTTGCTTACCTCAGCTCAAAATCAAGGCTCCGGGAGCTCTTCGATGCCTTTGGGTGGCCGGGAACTAACGGCGCCGCCGCAGCCTTATCGACATGTTAGCCCCTAATAACGCAAGAGCAACCAGCACCCTCTTCCTAATCCAGTGCTAAGGCCTCTCCTGCACACACTTTGCAACACGCATTCGCTGAACAATTAGATTCAGTATTTTCGGAAGTTAGCCGGTAGTTGGCACATGCACTTCGGGAAAGACTAGCGAACGCCCTGTTGGTAAAGTTCGGTCCAGCCTGACAGCGGCACGCGAAAGACTTGCCCGCGCTGCTGTGGCCGTAAACCAGAAATCTTTGCCTGTTTTTCCAACATCGAAGTCACCTTTGCCAATTTGCAACCGGAACGAGTAACAAGGAAAGCCCCCTCGGTCGAAGTCGCGAAGCAGACTCTTGAAAGCGTAACAGACAGGTCCCGATCACTTTTGATGGGCCAGGGCCAGGGTCTCTCATCGAAGCTCGTCGTCCCGCGACCAGAACCTCCAGAATCCAAACTTGAGCTGCGGGAAGCCTCACGTTCTGCAGAAGCTCTCTGCGATGTTGGTAGGTGCAAACTTGTCATTGTCTGTGCCTGCCTGTTTTGATCCATGTCAGTCTCCCGGACCCTTGTCTACATACCTGTGTGGGGATCAAACGCAGGCAGAGAGAGGCCCACTTCCAAAGGAGTTGAACTTTCACAAGCGGCCTCCGAACTAAACACCCTGCTGAGGTCTATGCCTTTCTCCGGCCTGCGGCCGCAAAGCTAGATGCGGCACGGCTGAGATGTCGAGAGGGATTCGTGGCTCTCGGGCGCTGCAACACTGCAGATTATTGAGCAACACAACGTCTGGTTTCGGGGTCTATAGCATCTTTTGATTGCCAGGATGAGATCGAGAGAAGACTATGTATTGTAGTAGCAGGCTCATATTTTTCTGGCTGGCGGTGTTCGTCTCATCAGCGGCCTTGCTTCCCAAACCTTGCCTACTCCGCACGCGGTTATGTTATGAAGTGAACAGTGACTTAAGGCCCTCTTGGCCATCCTGGCAGCAGCAGCCGCCTACCCCGAGGCTCCTGCACAGAGGGAAGACGAGAGATTTGGGCTCGGCTCGGTCCAAACCAGTCAAAAAACCAGTATTACGAAAGACAATGCGCGAGGCTCATTTGTACATGACTACTTGCAGCCTGAATGGAGGAGGGACGCTAATTATGCATCAGAGACCTGATTCTCGAGACCACGCATGTGGTGTGAATGCTTGCTTGACCAGCGCCTTAGCATTAGTCGGCTCCTGACCCCACGCCATTCGAATCGCTTGCTCGAACAGATGTGGCCTGCCCTCGTCAGACGTTTTGAAGTCGTTACGCTGGTGTCTTCATTGTCAGCCATGGTTTGCTTAATTGATGCAGAAGCTATTTAGTTCCGTGCCTGACTTGACAGAGGAGCCAGTTTCCAAAGCAACGATAGATGAGCGATTATCCGGCTATTGGGCACATCCGCTTAAAACCCGAATGTCGGCTGGGCGAGGCACTCCCTGACAAAGCCCTTTGCAGAAACTACTTGCCCTAGCATCCCAAAAACTTCAAGCGTTATGCTGGATGCTTTGAAACAGTGTTAGTGTCTGTGCATGTGGGTGTGGATATGCGTATATAAATCTTCTATATAATACTTAATACATTATACATACACACATAAAAACACATATTCAGCGCTGCCGCTTTCAGAAAACATGCGGGATTTTCACGACAACAGGGTTCAGAAGTGAGGAACAGTATCTTTTTTCTGAAATTTGGCGCACAGTTTTCGGAGATGCAGCGCCGGTTCATCATGAATATGCCCTAGATTTTTCTCAGAATATTTGGATTTCTTCAGTAATTATGCCGGGCCACATAGGAGAAGGCGCACATGTGCATCTCCAAGCTGGCAAGAATGCATGAAGACAGGGAAACGCCATGATGTAGGGTTTGGGGTTTAGGAGGGTTTAGGGCCCATGCTGCCGAATTTCGGCGTTTCGTATGTCTGAAAATGCGGCGCTTGTTTCTGAAAATCGTGTTGTTGTTTTTGATGAATCCCTTCCGGATTTCGGAAAATGTGTGCATGTTGTCGGAAGACGGCCTTCCATGCGTTGAACATGGCGCATCACAACTCCAGCCGCTCTATCTATGTTGTGTATGTATGTAGATTTAGCTCTCTCTTTGTCTCTCTCTGCGCCTGTCTATCTGTCTATATAAGCTGCATATTTTTCTACCGACCATCCATCTATCTGGAATCTGTCTGTCTATCTATGTTTGCATCCATGCGCATGCGCTTCTGTGCAGGACGTGCTGCTGCTGCGGAGCCAGGCCACAGAAAAGCGTGATGTGGGAATGCTTGTTTGCTGATTCAAGCGACATGTTTACTTCTGACCTCTGAGGTATGCTGACATGTGAGAATGCCGATAAACGTGGTGGCACAGACGAGTATGCTGGTGTTCTTGTTGATGACTGCTGTCGGCAGCACTGCTGGTGCCGCGGTCGTGGGTTTCTTTTGCTGGTGGTCTTTGCCGTTGTCGCCGTCGTCGTGGTGGTTGTGACGGCGGTTGTGGTGGCGGTTGTGGTTGTGGTTGTTGTGGTGCTTGTTATTGTGGTTGTGGTTGTGGTTGTTGTTGCTGGTGCTGGTGCTGGTGCTGGTGTTGCTGCTGGTGCTGGTGGTGCTGACGTTGGTGGTGGTGGCGGCGGCTGGGGCGGCGGTGGGGGGTTGGGGCGGGGTGGTGGGGGGTGGGGGCAGTGGTGGTGGTGGTGGTGGCGGTGGCGGTGGTGGCGGTGGCGGTGGAGGTGAGCAAGCCCTGGTCATCGTCATTTGTTGGTGGTGGCTACATTCCTGTACCGTGACTGCTTATGCGATACAGGCT